TTTCATTTGCTAATATTGAACCTACAATCATCATTGCCTTTTCAATACCATGTCATTTCTCTGCCAAAATCTCAACATATTCTAAATTTATTTTTCATTTGGGATGATTCTAATTCAGTCATTACCATCTACAGGCTGAAGTAAATGAACAAAATAATAGAGATCCCATTTTTCATTAGTGCAGTAAGTCTATTAAGGACTTGATTATTGATATTTATTCCATGGAATCTCTTCAATTATGGCAACAACACAAGGTCTTTAGAGATAAATACCAAGCTCAATCTAGCTCTGTAACTCGGTACCAAAAAATCCACTGTATTAACAGAAATAGGGAAATTTGCTTATCAAATGAAACCATATTAGAAAAAACTAACATTTATAAAAAACCTTTATGAAAAATATTAAGTATGTATCAAAAGTCAAAATACTTAATATAATGGTTTGTTTAGAAGAGAGAAGATACATACTGATATTAAAAATTATTATTTTGGCTAAATAAGACTTGAGGTATATTATTCTAATAAATAAATGGAGGCAATTTTAGAAATTTTAAAATTACTAAAAAGAATGTTTAGAAGATGGTCATCCAATCTTTTGACATGTTGCCTTGGGCAGCATAAAAATATACTGCTCAAAAAAATAAAGGGAACACAAACGTATAGGATCCTATACATTTGTGTTCCCTTTATTTTTTTGAGCAGTATATAATACAGTTAATATACATAAATAACAAATTTTCTTTATTTGTATTTTTTTATCTTGTGGAGTTGCATTAATAAGTGTCAAGGGCCACATGTGGCCTATGGGCTATGGGTTAAACACATCTGTTCTAGAAAGATAATTATACAAGTTTAATTGAGGTTTCAATTCCTGAACATTTTAGACCATTATGTTTAATAATGTAAAATATCAAGCCTATAGTTACAGCATGTTTGGCGTATATTATGAATGTAATAGATTTAGAAAGGATTGGAATGAACTTTAACTCCCACATATTTTCATGAATGTATAAGAAAATACATTGTTGTTATTCCATACAGTTAATTATATAGAACTACAGTGAATCTCAAAGGATGCACATAAGCCTTGAACTGGGTTCATAGTAAAAACCAATTTTAGAGAATGAAAACCTGATGGTTATACTTGCTAGTAAGCTCAAGAAATAACTAGGAGGGAGAAATCAATAATAACAGGATGTGAATAAAGCCTAGAGCCTGCTATTTTCAGTTTGTACAATCATTTGTAAATCTAGCCTTCAAATAGCATATATAAATGCTATGAACGATGGATTAAGAGACCATCATCAATATTAAAGCACAGTTAAGTTTTTCTTCCATTAAGAAAAAATCCTCAAAAGGTTAGTTTTACCTTTATAATATTTTATCACCAATTTGGACACTAGAAAAATACATTTTAAATATAACACAAAGATAGTTTGTGAAGAAATTCTTGCAAATTTTCAATCATCTAGTGCAGGGGTGTCAAATTGCCGACCCGTGGGCCAGATGTGTCACGCCAAAATCGCGCCACCCCATTGCTGGCAATAGGGAAAAAGTCACGAGTTTGACACCCGTGATCTAGTAGGTAACTGCTGAAAGTTCACATTGCAGACATACATTAAATTCTGGGTTGTAGCCCATGTAGTTCATATTGATTAACTAAATCTTTCTATCCAGTCTATGGTATTATTATAACATGTATCCACCAATTGAAAAATAAGAATTTAAAATAAGTTTTCACAAGAGCCAAAAGTATAATAATGAGTTAGTTATATTTCTTAAAAAGTCTCTGGATTTAAAAGAATATAACTTTACCAATCTAATATATGCTAATTTGTTTAAAACAATTTTTATTTGAATGTTATGAAGCATTTACTAATTTAAAAACTAAAAATGTAGCTTCATAATTTATTAATTTAGTATATCCCATAGAGGATATTTATTAAACCAAAGTAGAAAAAGTATTATCAGCTTTGGAGCAAGCAGATCAATCTATTTTTCAACTATATTTTTTCAGATTTAGAATATTTGCATATTACCAATTCAATACCTATATTGAGATCAATTAACTGAATGTTAAGATTCAATTATGTCATAATCTGTTAAACAAAGTTTCCTCTGTTCACATGATACTAAGCCAAAACTAAGCAATTATATTATTGCTTAGAATAATGTCTGAATCCAGTGATTATGTAATTTTTCTGCTGATGAATATGAGACCCACCCAGAATTCTGAAGACCATCGATCAGAAGAGACATTATTTCCAATGTAGTTTTAAACAACCTTGATAATGGGTTACAATATCACAAAAACTATAATAGTTTACCAAGTAACAAAAAATATTATCAACAGGATCTGTGCTTTGAAATCCCTCATATTAAGCAAGACTTCATTTTGAAGTTCCTACCTATCCCATATCTTTCAAAAAATAAATAAACAATATTGGAATACCTATACATTGCTTCAGAACTAATTCCAGAATTGATTTGTAATAGTATTTTACTTTAATAGGATAGTTTAAAAACTGATATTTTGATTACACTGTTGAGTTATTTTGTAATAGAAGTTCTTTGCCTCAAAATTTAACTGTAATAGTAGCTAAGCAGTATAATGTAAGTACATAGAAATAAGTAATTACCTGCTAAAATAACAGGCTTCTCCTGAGCATCCCATACTGTAATATCTTTAATATTTAATGCAAACCAATTTAACTGGAAGAATTTTAAGTTATAGTAACCATATAATTTTTAAACCAAGCATAATGCTACATCTTTTAATTACATTATTAAAAAACCATTTCTCCCTATTTTTTTACAATTTATTTCTTACTTTCTCACACAAAAATCATGCTTCTGCTGTTGTGGAAATTGCATCATAGAAAGGAGGGAAGAGAAAGAGAATATGTTTGAACATTATGTACATATGAGTACACTATTAACATACTGTCAGTTTTGAGATAAGGGCTGTGTAAAAGAGCAATTTCATTTTCATTTGGGTATACACACATGACCAGAGATTATTTAGAAATGAATTATACTATAAGAATAATCAGAAAATGAAATGGAATCAATTTAAAAATAGGTATTACATATACAGTATTCCAGGATGCCATGAACACAGGACTTTAACAAGCACAATTCAACTGGAGAATCAAAACTGTAAGCTTACAATGATGTGAAAATTCAGTGAAATTTGCTTAGACTTGTCTTGCATGTAAATCAGGGGTCTTCAAACTCAACCCTTTTATGACTCATGGACTTCAACTCCCAGAATTCCTCAGCCAGCGTGCCTGGGAGTTAAAGTCCATGAGTCATAAAAGGGCCGAGTTTGAAGACCCCTGATCTATATTAAAGCATTTTATATTGATAAATTAATCCATTAATGCTTAAACCTTGTGGATATTAATAGCAAAGTTGCCATGTGATTTATCTTTTACTGACTTCAAGTTATGGAAATAAGACCAAAAGTTAGAATAAGGATGCATAATAATACAAATACTCTATTATGGGATGGTTTATCTTTTATAAACCACAACAATCATGAATTATATGTAATATTCAACTGATGATAGACTTGTCAATTGCTCTAAACTACAAAAGTCTCTTTTGCATTTAAATGTAAATAGATTTGTTGACAAGATTTCATAAATATAGTTTGCTATTTCTCTAAGTAGAGAATTTTTATTTCATGCTTACAACTTAAATGGAACAGAATATCCTGGTATAGATCACAATGCTGCATGACTGAAAGTTTCTTTCTCTAGAAATAAATATTTTAGGGGAAGTTATTGTATATTTTTAAAGAAACCCAACAGAGCAAACCTATACATATTAACTGAGAAATCCTGAAACATATTTCCACAGTGATTTTAGGATTGCAAATTTAGATACAAACTATTTCTTGCTCTACATTTTTAGGTTTACTTACATTAACTTTTATAAAGCTGTGTCAGACCCAGTGTCTTAGAGTTCAAGAACATTCAGCTTTACAGAAGAGACAAGCATTTTCTGCATATCCTGATTTTTTAAAAAAATCTTACTTTACTTTTGTGATTACACATTTTACATATAAACTTCTTACTGAATTGTATTTCCTTAAAGCATTTTGATGCTTCATCGAATGAGGGAGCTCTACATTTCCAAATTTGGTACTTTGTTCAAAGAACCCATTTAGAAATATTTTATGTATGGAACTCCAAAACCTAGGAAAGGTCTGATACAACTTATTTCAAACAAGAACATATTGTTTATTTAAAAAAAATAGCATGCTAAAATTGCAATCCTAAGCAATTTCTTTTCAGGAAGCCAATCCCATTCAATTTAGTGTAGCATGCGTTTCAGCAAACATCCTTTAAGGCAGAACAGTATGCTCTTAAGATTTTATGTTCCTTATGAAATAACCACATATTTGTAACAATAATAAAGGTTCAATTAAAAAAGCAAGCAATGTGGAACCTTCTTTACCTCTATGATCTTCTTTTTCCTAAGAAGTACCTTTTGTTAATATCTGCAGATTTACATTAAAATTCCAGATATATATTCCAGACTATATTTATTTCCTCATATAGATGTTTTCTTTCACTGAAAAATTAATTTTTATGAAATTTGTGAAAATATATAATCAGTAATTTGATAGAATAAGTTGATAGTATCCAGTTAATAAGGCTAAATTTAATTATTTCTAGTTCATGCTACAGAAAAATGAAAGTATTTTTCAAGTTACCAAATGTACTCATAGATTCAAGAGTTACTGTAACTCTTTTCAGCAGAATGGAAGTTGATCTTTTTTTATTTAATGTCTATGATCTCATTTCCTTAAGGTCTTTGTGAAGTTTTCCACATAGTTTTGCAACGTAAATAATTTAGTAATGAACCAGAGAGGTTAAAATTTATCCTACTTATCAGCAAGTACCTTGAAAGAGATTTAACATGTATTTAAACTCAATAAACATTCCAGTAAAATGTGTTTCCAACCATTTAGAAAATATAAAAAATAAATACCTGTCTTCATCACCATCAACAGGAATAGATATGCCAAAGACAGTGCTGGCAAGACTGTTCATAGGAGTAGTTGCAGGTAAATTAAGAGGGTTTGTTAAACTGTCCGGAATAGGTGGCTTCACATGAAGTTTGTTTTCAGCAAGAGAAAGTGGTGGTTGAGGTAGGGGTTCAGATTTTCTTCTAGTATCATCAATCTGACCTACAGGCTGTGTCTGAAACTGTCCAATGTTAGATTGTGGTAGATTCGTAGGTACACTACATGTGCCTTGCATTAATGGAAGGCCAATATGTTGCTGGACAACACTGGAACTTCTACTGACAGTTGTATGGCTGGTCAGCTGAGATTGGACTAAAGTAACAGAGGCATTTGGCATAGTAACAGAAGTTGTAGACACATTAGGCACAGTAGTACCAGGTACAGCTATAGGCACATTCTGAACTCCAGAGACTATACTGTGTGGAGTACCAGCCACTTGACTGCTTCCACCCATTTGCTGCTGAGTCATGGATTTCTGTTGAACAGCTCCTGCATGTCCAATGCCTTGCTGTACCACACCTCCTGGTTGAGAAATGACAGTCTGAAGTGGAGTTGTCAGGCCACCCTGCATTAGCCCAGATCCCTGTCCTATTGTTTCGCCTGCTGGTGAAGGAACTCCCATCACTGGTGCTAGAGGTGAGGGATTCTGACCAACTACTTGTGCTGCTGGAAGACTGGAAGCTCCAGTGCCTGTGACTGAGCCAGAAGTAGCCTGTTGAGTAGCTCCTTGAGACTGCATTACTGTCATATGCTGAATGTATTCTGGCTGACCAGGAGTCTGGGCTGACACCATGTGTACTGGTGGAATCTGTGACTGAGAGTAAGCAAACTGCTGAGTCTGTGCCACTGGTACATTTGCTTGCTGTACCTGTTGTTGTGGCACAGGCAAACCTGGCTGAGCTATTGCTACATTTGTAGATGGTAAGCCTTTCCCATTAGGCCCAGCTTGCCCCACGCTCTGTGCATTTACCTGTGTCTGCAACAGAGGCCCCATCGCCTGCTGGCCTGCTACTGTGGCTCCTGAATAGATTGGCTGAGCACTACTGTGAGGCTGCTGACCAATAACAAAATTAGGCTGCTGTGGAGACGGCTGGTTTATTTTCTCTGGCTGGAGTAGCTGTGAAACAGCAGTAACAGAACTGTCAGCTAAGGAGTCAGGACCATGCACAGAAGTTACCACACCTGAGACTATCAACGAACTACCAGTAGCACCTAAGCCACTGTCTCTATCTTGAACAGCTTGTTCAAAAGTACTGTTGTGTCTAATGCAATCACCAGTCCTGGCTAACACAGCCCCACCATCTGAGTCCCGATCATAGTATTCCATACACGTCCATCGTCCCCGTCTATACGGCTCTCCAGTACCGTGGTCTAGCTTGATCACTCTGAAGCGAGAACTGCATGCGGCAGCAGCCGTTAGAGGCATGGCTGACGGACCAGCAGCTGGTTGCACACTGCTGCCTCCTGTCGCTACTGAGCAGGTTTGGCTGGCAGTTGCTGAAGGCATCACAGTGCTCCTGGGAACCGCTCCTCCATTGGCAACAGGCACAGCAGGAGAAGGCGGCTGTATCCCTCCAGAAGCTGCAGCAACAGCAGCAGCAGCTACTTGGCCATCCAGAAGCAAATTGGGAGAGACTGTCCCTGGAGTCTCGGCATCACCCACATTGTTGAGAGTTTCCTCGGAGGAGCTGCGCTCACAGACATCTTCAGGTCCATAGTCAGTGGCACGGGACACATCAAAAATCTCTGATGAAACATCCTCCGTGTGGGATTCATCCGGGTCGTCCAAGCTCTCGGTGTCCTCCGTGATGCTGCTGGCCACCTGGGCCGTCGTCACACTTGTGATCTGGAAACAGCTCTTTTTCTTGGCCGGCATCTTGGACATGGTTCCTTCGCGAGAGAGACGCGAGTGAGAAGTCAGGGGGTTCCGCCCACCTGCCCTCGCTGGAGTCGACGAAAAACTAGGTAAGGACCTTGAGAAGGGTCCGAGCTGGCCACCACGCAAGCTTGGCCGGGCGTAGCGAGGGGGAGGATCACGTTCTCTCTACGGCGCAGTCGCTGGCGGTCTCGCACATTCCTCCGGCCTCCCGACGCAGTCCGGGCTCAGCAGGCGGTCACCAGGCCTGGGGTTGGAGACGAGGCAAAAAGAGAAGGGGGGTGGCGGCCGGGCTCCTCCTCTTCCTCCCTTTGAGTAAAGCGGCGGGCCCCTCGGCGGGCGGCGCCGCCACCACCTCCTCCTCCTCCTCCTCCTCCTCTTCTCGCCTCTCCGCGAGTTCCGCTGTCCCCTTTCGCAGCTGAGGTTCCTTTCACAGCCGTTCTCGGGTTGCGCGGTCGGGGTGGCGCTATCACTCAAGCCGCTCCGCTGCCTGGCTTCCGGCCAGACCCGGGCTTCCCAAGGCGGGCCAACGCCACTGATCTGTCCGCAAGCTTTCCGAGAGGGGCGGCGGCAGCCGGCGAGGCGTCCCTGAGGCGCAGGCCGCCCTGCCTCCCCGTTCTACCTGGAGATCAGCACCAGACGCATCATCTTCTGGGGAGGAGAGAAAAAGAGGGGACGAGAACGAGTCCAGTCACAGCGGCCCCCTCAGGCGGGCGGGCCCCCTAGACGCGGCGTTGTCGCTCGTTCCGTGCCGGCAAAGCAATTTCCCCGTCTGCCGAGCCAGGTGGCAGCGAGGCGGAGCGGCCGGGCTCCTTTCCCCCTTTTCTTAAAGCACCGCGCACGCTCCGTTCCCCTGCGCCGCCGAAGGAGCTGAAATTCAAACTGCTCACTCCCCTCGCTCAAGATGGGGCTCAAATGGAGCCGCGGGGCAGCCTGGGAACTGGAGCAGGGCTGCTACTGCGGCAGCCTCACTGTCTCCGCCCCCACGCAGGGGCGCGCGCTGACATCAGCTCCAGCAGACGCGCCCCTCTCCAACTCGAGCGGGTGAGAAATTTCATCCGGCCGAGAAAGGGGCGGGCAAGAGGGAGGGAGGGAGGGAGGGAAGGAGTGGAGCGTGACTTCTCTGAGGCAAAACCCCTCCCCTTCGCGATCGTCATGTTAACCGTTTGGAATATTCCACTGATTCCACCTTCCCGTCTCTGCCTCTCAGCAGACTTGGTATCTTCCCGGGTTGGGGGGGTGGGGAACGAGAGTAGTAATGATGTGATTCCTTTTTGTGTCCCTGCTTGTGCTCCACGTCGAAGTTTTATCTGCCCCGATTGTGGCATTTTTATCTTTAGGATGTGACACGCCCGACTAAGTTATACTATAACTTTTACAGCCTTCCTCCTTGCCTCGAGGTTTTTTTTTTTTTTTAAATGAGAGTGCTTTTGCTACTGCCAGGACTACATTTATGAGTCTGCTGGGTTTTAACTGGTTTGAATCCGCATTAAAACCAAATATTTACCCACTTCCACAATGGACTTCACTTGTAATCTTTCCCACACTATTTTATCCAACTTTGTGGCCCAGTATGGGGGAAACGGCCAGAGCACTAGTCGACAAGACATTTCCATGTTTAGGACATTTTGTTTCTTTTCTGCCACGTGGTGTTATCCAGGATCTGGCAGCCTTAAGTAGAAGGACATGCCTTATCTAAGGGGGCACTGCGTTATACTAGTGTATACTTTTGACAGAAGATCCCCAAGGCAACAGATTCAGGGCTGCCAAAATCCAAACAACCACTAGATGGTGACACAGAGGTGTCTGCATTTTGGCACTTCAGACAATCCTGGACAAGAAGCTCTACAGTCTGATCCCTGATTGAATAGATGTTTGTTACATATTTTTTTTAAGATTTTGAGAGCCAAATTAACAGTTCAGAATATTTGCCTATGGAATCGTAACCCAAGGGATCAAGTGCAATTTGTTTCCATGAAATAAATGAAAATGTTTAGGACAGAGCCTTGGGCATTCTGTCCTGGCCAATGTGTGGTAAATTTCAATGCACAGGCATCTATAATTCAGTAATCAGTGATAAAGTATGCTGGGAGAGGTGTTTTAGGATCTAGAGGGGCACATATTGCCTTTTTGTTTATTAGATGTATTTGCTTGCTTTATTTTTTTAAAGACAAAGCTGCTATTTTAATGTGCAAATTACTGGTGATTTTAAAGGAATTAAACAAAGTTGATGGGAACTACCAGATGAGCACAGATTTGGTTCACTTCCCAAATGTTCAAATTTAAGACTATCACTTTTAGCATTACTGTATCTTATAAAATACAAAGATTATTTCGTCTTTGAAATATTTTTTCACACTTTTGAATTGCCCGTCTCTCTAGAGAGGGGCTCTGCGGGGTGTACAATTTAATCGGCAGCAATGTTATATGCAGAGCAATGGAAAGATTCAGCTTTATCCACTATGGAAGAATGGTTAGTGAAATTGACATCTTGCTGAGATTGATAAACTCACTTTGATTAGAGAAAAGATACTATCTACATTTATTGCTGACTGGAAACCTCTCATGGGATTTTTTTCATAAAAATGAATTTGTGATTTATGATTTTGATGATTAGACAGGATATTTTCTTTCTTTACATTTTGCTTTCTCTTTGTTTTCTTTTTCCTTATAATAGTTTGTATTAATTTTTAATCTTCTCTTTAAAAAGTTTTAATGAAGTTATATGTATGTATGTATATGTATAAATTTAAAATAGCCAGTAAAGTATGTAATTATAAACAAAATACTGTTGTCCTATTTGAAACAGAAGTACCTCACTGCAGTCAAACCATGTCCGCATCATTGATTGCACTACTGCAATGAACAACATATGGGATTACATTTGAAGATCACATAGAAGCTACAGTTGATTCAGTATGCAGCAACCTGGTTATATGGCATGTTTTGTCAAGAGCACGTTTGTTTGGGCCCTATGTTTGGGCCCCTATATTGACTTTCAATGGGTGCAGCCTAAAAATGCTTTCTTTGAACTATAAAGCCATATATGGCCTGTCACCTAGATACTTTTCAAAAACATTCTTCAACCTAATCTGATCACGCCAATTGAATTTGCACCAAAAAAAAAGGGGTTAGGATTTTCTGAGTCTGAAAGACAGGCTTATATATACCATTTGTTAAAAAGTCTTAATTTGATCCTTATGTTCATTTTAACTTCCACCCATTGCTTCCCCTTCCCTTATTTAGTATAATTTTCTTGAAATAATATTTCTCAGTTTTTGCTTCACCTTTATACCAGCATCTCTAGGACCCACTCCAATTATGTTTTCAGGCAGGATACTCTATGGAATCCACATTGGCTTATGTTAACCTATCAGAGGCTAAGGTGAATCATTATTACTAGTGCTATTGAAACTATTCATTGTTTTTTATACCTTGCACCACCAAATATTTTACAATGGAGTTCTTTTGACAAGTACGGCATTTCAGTAATTACAATCTTATCTATCTCAAAAGGTAAGTTCTTAGTCCTTCCTGCTGTCAGTGATAGTTTCTCAGGACTTGGCATTGGATTTCTTATACATTCGATATATTCCCTGATTTCATATTCAAAATTAAATTATAATACATATGGTGACTTCAGATCTATTCATCTGTCTTTATATTGTATGAGTATGTCTTTTCATCTGCCTACGCAAGATTTCAGATTGGATGTGCTCCCCAACTTAAACCAAAGATGAATGAAACAAAGATTATTTGTTTTACACTAATCTTCTTATCCTTTCTTATTTTCATTGGAGTTTCAAGTTGCTTGTCCTGCCAATTGTTAGGCACCTAACAGTTCACACTGGTGATAGACTGTCCTTAAAATCTTTTATTTAAAAAATGTGAAAAGCTACTGTTTCCATTTAATGACAATTTACAGTTATCTCACTACTGAAGCAGCCAAGATTTTGATTCATGCCCTAGTTGTGTCCTGCTTGAATTATTATAGCATCCTCTTAGTTGGATTCATAAGACCTTTTTACCATTTCATTTGTGTTCAGAATACTGTTCATACTATTCTGGATCTTCCTTATTTTGTCCCTACCTGTTTTTATAGTCAATTGTTATAATAGTTGGGAATTCGACAAAGATACTGGGACAAATTTATGCTGTTGACACATATGCTTGCCTATGGGCACACCCAGTTATTTGAAAGCAAGTGATTCATGAACACATGCTGTTGGTTCAATTATTGGGCCATGGTTATTTGATTCTACCACATACTAGACTAGCTATGTTGTGTTTAAGGGTTTTTCTGGATGTGTAGAATGGACCAGTGCCAGGATTACATTTGGAACTGGGTCATTTAAAATAATAATTAAACTCACTAGAAAACTGCTTTTTTATGGATCCCTATGAGGTTGCTTTAAATAAAGTTTTACTTGTTACTTTAAATATTTAAAGGCTAGTCTATAATTAAAATAAAAAGTCTCTTATTTTATATTATAATGTTAATTCTAGGTTTATATTGCATTTAGCACATAGTAAATAAAACTATCATTAATCCAAATCAGTGGGTTCAAATTACAAGAAAAAGTATTTTGACCAGCATCCCCCAACATTTTCCACCATGAAGACTACTACATTGTTACCAAAACTTTTTAAAGACCATCATAAAGTATATCAATCAGTAATATGGCATCAGCAAACACTATGGCCTATATGGCTTGTATAAATGTCATCCATAGGAATCCAAATTTAATTTAAAAGCATTTCCTTTTATGTTTAAATAACCATAATGAACAAAATAGAGTCCTCAAATGTTATAAGTTGTCGAGCATCAAATTTTGCAAAGTTTTATGATCTCATGAGAGGAATTCATCCACTAATTCATTCATTCATTCAGCACTGTGTGAAGTATATTCATGGAACAGATCACAGATTGGGAACCACTGATAAATACTAAACAGTAGGAAAGATTTTAATATTTCCTTAGAATGTGAATTCTTCTGCAGTATCTATTATTCTATTAATTGTTCTGTTCTGCTGTTCTGTTCTTGTTCTGCTACTCAAAATGTTGATCTTCATTCATGTAGGCCAACTCTCTAATCTGAACCCTATATTTCTTCTTGTAGTACATGTATAGGATTAGAGGATTCTACTATGATTACTCAGCTTCCTTAGTTGGTCTTAATGCATACATGTCTGGCCCAAAGCTAGAGATGTGAGGATGGTGTACTGTAATTTACTAGCATGATGATCTATGAAAATAATAAAGATTAATTTGATTTGTTTTTTCAAAGTTCTGAGACCGGTCAGACTACCATCCCATTATTAGAGATACACTGAATTTAAAATATTGGAGAAATGTCCAAATAAATCAGTTCCAAATAAACCATGAATCATCTTAAAGCTTTACAGGTAATTTGGACTGCAGGGAAACACAGAGAAACAAAATGCAAAAATGAATGTGTATCTCAAAATCTACAATTCCACTACATTAGTGGAAAGGAAGACGTTTTGCAACTGACATCAAATTATAATGAATGATTCTACTGGGAATGTCCTTCCTTCCTTCCTTCCTTCCTTCCTTCCTTCCTTCCTTCCTTCCTTCCTTCCTTCCTTCCTTCCCTCCCTCCCTCCCTCCCTCCCTCCCTCCATTTTTATAGCCATCAATCTCACAAAATGTGATTCTGGGCAATGTACAATAAAAATCATAAAATACTCAAATATAAATAAAAAGCAGAAAAACATAAAAAACCAAGATAGTGGGGGAAACAACCATCATTAGGTGGCTCTCTAAGGAACCCCCAGAGTTGATGGGAAAAACACTTTATGAGGACTTTCTGAAAGGCACATGTGAATGGAGCCAATTCACCTCAGGGAGAATGGAGTTCCGGGAGTGGGGGGAGGCAATACAAAATGAAAACAATCTGGATCCCACCAGATAGAACT